AGAGGCAACCCAATCTCACAAACCCATCCACCACTTCTGGATTTGGAAAGCACTTTGTCACAATAAACTCAAAATATTCCTATGGCTATTAGTACATCAACGCCTACCCACAGCAGATGTCCTAAGCCAAAGGAAGATAATCGAATGCAACTTCTGCAAACATTATGGGACTGGGAAAAATACAAACCACTTATTCTTTTATAGTCATGTGAATAGTACAAAATTGGGGAAAGCTAAACATCACCACCCCAACCTTAAACTAACTAGATTGGATAAAGGATATTTGTACCTCCACTTCGAGCATCCTTCTACCAAATAACTCATCAATCCCTTTGGCTGTTATCACCCCAATTGTCCTTTGGCATATTTGGCTCAACCGAAATCATAACTATTTTAATAACTGCTCAACAAAAATTGACAGCCTAAAAACAGTTATGCACGCAATGGAATACCTCTGCCTAACAAACCATAACTTCGAAAATATCTTAACCACAAAAATCCCAATAAAATGGACCACCCCACCACAAACATCTATAAACTCAATATAGATGGTGCACACCAAAAAAAACTCCAACATTGGGGTAGCAGGTGGAATCATCAGAGATTCCGAAGGAAAATGGATTGATGGATTCTCCTGTCACATAATGGTCTCGTCACCCATCCAAGGATAAATTCTTACCCCACTAAAAGGATTAGATCTTGCTTTCACAGAAAATCGAATACCGATTATAGTGGAAACAGATTGCCATCTATTAGTCTACTTATTACAAGATAAACTTCACAACAAAGCTAATGCTAATTTTCTTCATAATTGCAGGTTCCTGCTCGACGCACTGGGCCAGCGGGATGTTAGGCATGTCTACCATGTAGGAAACCAAGTGAAGCGCACACATTGTTGCAGTTTGGGAGCAGATATAACTCACATACTAACGCTGAGTGTGAAGAACACTTCTGAAACGGACCACCTTTATTTGCTTTCTCTACTTTTCGCAAAGACTTACTAGGGACTACTTCGTTATGATCACTCCGGGACTACAATAACTCTCTTTAATTTCCTGCATAATAATAAGAACTCGCCTTTAAGCAAAAAAAAAAAAAACCATGCTTGAGACAAATTCTACTAATAATAATAGAGTATATTATTTTATTTAATTTTCTAAGAATTTCAATTTACTAAAAAAGATTAATGTGATATTTTCTCTATCAAAATAATCTATCTAAATATTCTCTTCAATCACTATTTATGTTATATAATATAACGCAAAAGTCGAAATATTTAACATGTTGAATTCGATGGCGCGATCCAGTGAGGGGTGGAACTGTGTTTTACCACTGCTAAGCTTTATGGAACAAATAGAGTGAGTAGGCCTAACACAAACTCCTTTCGTTACCATACATACGACTCTCACCGCATACAGCTTGCACCAAATAAAATATTGAATAAGAGTTTAATAAGGAGATTTCTTAATTACTTGATCAAGGAACAACGCTTTCAAACATTACTTACGAGAATCCCATTCAAATAATGCCAAATAAAATAAAACTGAAAAAATGACTTTTGATTTTCATAAGTGATAAAATAGGAGGAGGCAATTGGCCAGCCCTTGGCCTGAATCTTGGTCTTAAGAATATTCAAAAATTAAGGTTTTGATAAAGCCAAAGGATGTTACAAAATAAAGATCAACCATAAAACATGTGGGCGTTAGAAAATAAAATTGCATATCCACAATTTCTGGCGAAGATTAGGCGGCAAAAGATTCAATTTGTATTAACAAACTGTTCGTTTTACTAGTTTTATTAAATGGATCCATGAGAAAAATTAAGAAACATGTGGGGATAGAAAATTCAGATTCATTACACAATTTTCTATTCTTATTCCTTTTCTCTAAAAACAAGGAAAAAAAGATTAATTTCCATTTCTTCTCCTTCTCTGTTCTTTTACCCTATTTATTTTTATGCCGGCTTTGTTTATCAATATTCCAGTCAATTGAATAATTATCTGCTAAATTAATAGGAAACTTCCATGCTAAAGAAGTAGATTTAATATATTGAGTATTGACTTAACAAAAAGAAAAGTACTCCCTCCTTCCTAGAAAAGATGGCGGATTTGGAGAACATAGAGTCGACCTAAGGCTTAACTTAACCTCAAAAATTTCTTAATAACTAACAAAATCACGCAAAAACATGTATCAACTGTGTCAACTTACACCGCATTCACTTTAACAAAATAAATAGTCAAAATAAGCAAACTTTTAAGGGAAAGCCTTGTAGCAACTATAAAATTGCCTCCGTATGAGATGAGGATGGGAAAACTCACATAAATCCCCCGAGGAGAGATAATCATAATTTCATCAAATTAAAAGAGTAGAATAAATATAATTAAAATTATAATATGTTGGTGCAACTTTATGAGATTAACCTGCAGTGATACTCGTTATAATAGAATGACAATTCCTCATTGACTTGGATAACACTGAATTTGTTTATCACCTAGGAATTAACACTATAAGTTTTACCAATTTCTTATTGTTTACCCGTAAAACGGTACAATTAAATTTATACGTGATTTATAGACAAGTGAATCAATTTGATCCAAAAATAATAGATGAGTTAGACAAAAATGTAAGACTTAGCCTTGAAATTGAAATAAAACGGCAGATGTCTTAGTCCTGGACGCAGAACTTCCGGAGGTAGTAAGGACAATATAGATAAGCAGAAAGGTAAAATGTTATTGGGCTTTTGATAGAATATAGCGTATGCTTGTCAGAAAATTCGTGTCTTTACAATGATGGCAGAGCTCACTATTTATAGTTACACCTATGAAATAAGGTCCTAAGATCAAACCCCTCTTAAATGACAATTATAAGGGTCATTGAAGAATGTGTAACGGTGGGCAGTGAACGCTATATTCTCTGTAACGGATCATGCATTTAATGCTATAGAATATTCTTCATTGAATGCTACTGGATAGCAGGCATTTATTTTGCCTTTATGAACATCATTCTCTCTGATGACAAGCGAGATCATTGCCTTCGGGTCCGACTGTCTTCTGTCTTCAGCTCCACGTGTCGGTTTCTCATACGATCATTAAATATGAACATACATACCCTGTACACCTATCTCTACTAGAAGAAATATTCGAGAATAATTTATCCACGCTCGATATTTTACATCAGCCACATTGCTTCACCATGCTTATATGATAAACTGAGACAAAAATTCACATTACAAGTAATACTTGAGTGACAAAAACAAATAGTCAAGACACATGTTATGTAACAATTAATTTTGTGTAAACATCAAATGTTGGTATATTTTTGGGAAAATTACGCGACACATTAAAATTTACGTAAACTATATTTATTATTCGTAGCTATACTTTCAGTAAATTTACATATTTAAATTTTATAGCAAATCCATGAAATAATAGATTAATTGTTTGAACTGAAACAAGAGAGCAAACAAGCTCTTATAGCTCAGTTGATTAGAGGGCCCGATTAGTAGCAACGTTTTGAGTTAGACTCTCAATTACAAGAGCATTTTATTTTTCTATATTTCTGTATTTTGCCTTAGTTGTATATATTCATTGCACGAATGAATACAGTCGATACAGATTGTATCCTTTGTATATACCCATGTATACAGTCGATACAAGTTGTATACTTTGTATACATCCTTGTATTTCGCCTTGGTTACTGTTGATACATGTTGTCGAATACAGACGATATAGATTGTACCATTTTTATACACCCATGTATACAGTCGATACAAATTGTATCATTTGTATGCATCCTTGTATTTTGCCTTGGTTACAGTTGATACATGTTGTATTCGATACGCGAATGAATATATTGCGCAAACGAATACAGTTAATACAGGTTGTATTCGTTGCACGAACGAATATAATTGACACAACATGTATTCGTTGTGCGTCTGAATACAAGAGATATAAGCTAGTAAAAATTGAACAATAACTAGGAATAGTAGTTAAGTAAACTACAGTTACTATACTCTAAACTACTATACTTTATGAAAATTTCTCTAATTTTTTTCGCAAACGAATTATATAAAGGATAAAGGCGGACCCATGAAAGGTTGTGTCTTTCCCTTTGGGTTACTAATTTTTGGAATTTCATGGGAAAAACGTCAAAGTCAAACAAAATGGAAAATAACAAAGACCTAAAAACAAGGACGTCGTCCAAAGAGAGAGCAGAACCTTTCACGTGAGTAGGGTTATCTCTTGTTTGAGAGATAAGTCCATTATTATGTACTCTTTGTTCACTTTTACTTGTTCATTTTGGATTTTTCTTACTATTTAAGAAATAATAAATAAAGTGTATAATTTAATAAGATACCATATTAATTGGTGTATAGTCTTAATGAATTTAAAAAATGATTTGGAATGAGTAATTAATGCTAAGGACAAAACAGAAAAAAAAAAAAAATTTCTTGATATACGAAAGTGAACACTTAAAATTGAAAATCTATTCTTAGAATAGTGGACAAGTAAAAGTGAATGTGAGAATATGCTTGTCAATTTACTATGAATAGAATGAAATTTGCGACATATGTCAATTTTCACAAAGGTATGGTTCCAAGATTCATATTTATAGTTACTCAAAAAAGGCCACCAATAGTGGTCTCGTGGTGGTTGTTACTCGTATTGTTGGTATATACACCTTATTTTCCTCATTCAACTCGTTATTTACGATGATTAAACATAATTCAGCTAAGTTATTTTAAAAGACGTTCTTAATATAGTTTGATATTGTTTATTTTGAGCTAAGTTTGCATTATTTTTCTCAAACAACCTCATCTAGGTCCATATTCTATATAATAGAAGAGCGAGAGTTTCGACCTGTTAGCTTTTAGCCATTAAATTTCTAACTGAGGTTATTTTAGTCATTTCAGCTCTTACCTTTTTTTGTGTATAGTTACATGTCTACAAAGTGGTATACGTGGCTTTAGTTCCTGGAAACACATAGTTATAGTATTACAGAGTTCCTTCTTAATCTTTTTTCTTAATTCTCTCTCATAGTGTTCCTCATCTCAATTCTCTTTCTATGCTCTGTTTTTATTGTCTTCTTTCATTATAGTATTTCCTTGAGCTCTTGATTTCACTTGTTTCTTTCTTTATGCCATCTCAGATTTCTGGATAACTATTTCTGCAATTTTCGGCCTTTTCCATCTCTCCATCGGTCCCGCTTTCCACCAAAGAGATTGGGAGGTGGAACCCAAAAAGGATGTAAATGGAGGAGTTTGTTTAAAAGTGCCGATAACCTTCAATTCATAATTTCTCTGGGGAAAAAACATACTAAATCCCCCCCCCCCCCCCCAATTTGTTCCATTAAAAACCTAGCTCTAAAATTATCCAAATATTTTTCTTGTGATTATATATAAATCCGTCTTTAATTCAGTTTTATTTTCATGAATTTAAGGTAAAGCTCAATTATTTAATGTTTTTACCCCATCCGGGAGGATTGTATTTTAACGTTTTAGTTAATGAACTTTCGTCAGATTTCATTGATATTTTTCTGCTTTCGAGCAGCTACATTTATTTGGAGGTTCGTGTTGTTCCTCTGCCTCTTATCGACAAGTCCTACTGATCATTTTTTTTATCTTCGTCACTATGCTTTCAGGTACTCTTCGATCTTCCTTACGCTTCATATATGATTATCACTATCTTTATATATGTTTATGAGTATGCTTCTGCTGAATTCTAAGTTGGCATTTATGGTTCACAAAATAATTTTTTTGTTGACTCGGGTCAGTTGTTTGGCTTGAATTGTTGTTTGCCCATATGAGTGGACTCATCATGTACTAAGTCGAATGAACCTTATAAGAAGTTTATTGGTATGATTACTAATAAGTATCTTTTTCAGCTATTGTGTTTTGGATGATAAAGAAGTAATTCAATGTCACAAGGATTCTGCATAATTCACCATAGATATCAAACTGATACTCTTAAGTCTACCGGTAATACTTCTGATTTACAAAATAAAATAACTTTGATTTCTTGCACATTATCAAAAGCCAGTTAAGGAGATGAAACTTTATTAAAATAAAATCAAATACCCCTTTAAGTTTATATTTAGGGATGATGTTATTTCTCTTTCATCAAGTTTAAAAGAATAAGAAAAATATTAAGGACTTACATTGCACATTAAATAAATAAAGAATGTTTTCTCCTTCCGAAGACCAAATTCAAAACGATTAAGGCTTAGAGTCATGGAAATCCCTAGAAAACTTTATAACATTAGTTGTCTCTCAATCATTTGATTGGTTAAGTGTAGGTTTTGTTCCATTGTTAAAAAGACCTTGCCCAATGTTCATGTGGTTGATAGCTCAGTCGACGGTTGGAACAGGAATCCCCTTATTCCTGTGTGTGTGTGTGTGTGTTTTGATGATTTTAACATCTGCTTGCACTATTCGAGTTCATTGTAGGAATTGCAATGTTGGGTTCAAGCTCTCACTCTCCGAGATAAGATCTCTTCAAGGATAGTATTGTTAGGATCTGCTTTAACGTGCATTTTATGCAATCCTTCAGCTGTAATGAATTTTTTCAAGGTAAGCAGAGTTACCTATTATAAAGTAAATTTGTAACATATGTTTGAATATTTGTTCTTTGTTTTATAAAATTGTTCATTTGATATGCTTTATGCATAATATATTGTTTTCAGTTATATTATTTTCACTTTGTTTACAATGAAGATATGATTTCTTATCATATTGTCAATAGCAAGAGATAATTACTTTGAGTTTTAAAATATAGTATTTAATTGCACAGTCTACTTTTAGGCAATTCCATAAGAGGCTGGTGCTCTTTTAATTTGCATGAATTTTGTTTCAACTGTTTTCTTTTCTGCATTGCATATATTTAATTTGTCGTCTTGAAAGTTGCTTAGTGATTTGAGGAGGTAATGGTTTCGACCATATCTTAGTCATTTGGTTTATCTAAATACTTGCATGTAGGATTAATGATTGTGACCGTAGGAACATTTAACATGGTGACATTTGGCTAGAGAAGCCCGCTCAATGGTTTATGGTTATAACTACTTGCTTGAGTCCTTTCCTTCCCCCCTCAATCTCACAGACCTGGACTACACAATGACATATATCACTCTATACTGTTGCTATTTTTACTTTCGACTTCTGATTAGTTTTGAGGGGTTTCTTCTTCAGTGGTTACTACCAGCCCACCATCATGTTCGGCATATTATTAGCCGAGTAATCTGCAACTCTTGCTCTCTATATTTGCATTATAGAATGTTCTTTTATAAGGTTTTGATGCTCCTTTGATAGTGTCCACAAATTTTATAGTATAGTCTAGCATTGTACAACTACTAAATCAAGCAATTAGATGCGTTGAAGGCAAATGATCTCATATTTCTATTGTGAAGAATAGATGTTTAAAGAATTTATATTTTTGGTGTAAGGAAAGAGTATGAAGATTTAAGTATTTTGAGATCTTGGAGATGCTGAGCTGATTGTAACAATTGCCCAGTTTCTCATTGTTTGTACTTTTCTCTACTTTCCTGGTACTTTCTTATAAAAAATCAAGCAATAATACTCTTTGACTGGATGAGCTGCAATACTATTAATTCTTGAATGCAAGGAGAGGTTTAGACACTACACCTTTCTGTTACCAAAATGGAGTGTCCATGCTGATGTTCTGGTAAGTATAATCATTTTGCCTCGATTGGAATTCTTGATAGATTGTAGACACAGAATTTTGAAGTACTTGTAACATATAAAGGTCTTAGAGAAGCTACTTTTAGTGGTCTATTATCTATAGGAATCTATCCTTTTCTTGGTTGAAGTACCAAATTGAGATATTTCTTGGATGTTGAAGTATACTGACAAGAGTGCCATATGCTCTTTGTTGTTCTTCGCCTATCGCTTTGACAGATATCTTTTGTCTTTTTTATCTTCTTTGTTTGAGATTTGAGCACTCACAATAGTTCTCTGTTCATAATTGTACAGGTAAGAAGGCTAAGGAGATGTCTAAAGACTAAGAAAAAGACTAAACACAGCACGAAAGGCGCATAATTGTTTGCTGATATTTAAATCGTATAAAATATTTCAAAGAATGCGACACTTTAGCATCTAGTCGTTTAATGATGCTACTGATGTAAAGAATGTGTCGTTTGCCAATCATATAATATCCGTGAGTGTTATATTTAGCTGATGCTAAATTATGTCTATCAATAATTGTCATCAAAATAATGTTAAATAACATATAACAGTTCAAACTTTCACTATATTGGGCTCGTGCTGGCGCAGGCCATCCCGGCCTTGTATCTTATATGTCAATCTTTCTTATCAACTTCTAATGTATAATTTTATTCATACACCTAACAATCTCATCTCAAATTAATTACCTCAAGGGCCATCACCAAGATTCAAAAGCTTATCTTAAGATTTATTGAGTATCATACATATTCACCGAGTATTTATGGCGACCAAAGCCCATACGCTTCTCCTTCTGAGTGTAGCCCAAAACTCCGTGCAAAGGCCGTAAATCGGCCATACACGTACAAAGGTAGTAAACCGACCCGTTCGACGTCATTATACTCTGTTGTGCTTGTTATTTAGGTTTTCATGGGCCACAATATGAGAACTACTCTCTACCATTTCCATACTCGTCCTGTCAAATTATCGACCCAATACAAATTTATTCGGCTCGGTATATCCAAATTACACTTTTAACATTGGACAATCTCTCATAGTTTTTCCCAAAAAGTCTCAAACAATGAAGGAAAAAAAAACAGAAAATTAATCCCACACAAACTTTATTCAAGGAAAAGAAGATTTCTATTTTTCCTTCTTTTATCAATTATGTACTTGTATGAAGGGCTAAAGTAGTAATATTGGGCCCACCACAGGTCACATGATTTATGAAAGCCCAAAAAAGATGAAGCATGGTCCATTACAAATCTGCCAAGTGTGTGGGTCAAAGCCCACAAAGGATGTAAGACCACAGGAGTCACCTTATTGTTTCCAGTAGCTTCTCATCTGAGAGTTTCCTAGCCTTAGTCTATTATTTAAATCTATTTTTTATGATTATGCTTCAGCTTCGATTAGTTACTATCTCGATATTGTCCCCCCCCCCCCCCCCAAAACCCAACTCGATATGACTCTCTATTATTTTCCAATTCTTGCTGCGGTGACTGTGCCTGCTCGAGGGTCTCTTAGAAACAACCTCTCTACCTATTCAAAGGTAGGGGTAAGGTATGCATGTACACTTCCCTCTCCAAACTCCACCCATGAAAATATATATTCGATTTTCAGAATATTATTGAAAAGAATTTTTTGATTGTTCTGGTTCTAAAAAAAATGAAATGTGTTTCAATAAGAAAACAATAATAACACACAAGAACTCAAGAGTGTGACCTAGTGGTTTCATCGAAGAATCATAAAGTTTCAACTTCAAATTAAGATAATTTTTTTATTTATTTATCTAAGTCTTGATTGTAGAATTACTCGATATATATACTAGTGTAAAGACCTTGCAGAATAATTAATTTGTGTTCAAGCTGGTCCCTGACCACCATTATTAAAAAATAAAACTATGCAGGAAACAAATATTAATATAGCACACTTGCGGATTGAAGAAGTAGATCAATCTCGAAACAATAAAAAGGCAACAAACTTGCAAATTTTATATGGTTTTGTACTAATAGTGCTCTTCAAATAATGAATCAACGAATCCAAATCCATGTTGTGCACATGAGTAACCATAATTAAAGTCAGATTTGAGTATAATCTGATGACAATTTGGTTATTTTTAATCTTCTTAATTACAAAAACACCAATTAAACTCTCTAATACCGGCCACAGCCCAATATAGAAAATCCTGAGATCAACTTTACATCATTAGGCCACGCAAGAAGCCTAGCCCACTTGTCTCTCACTTCCATAAAATTACAAATAAGAAAATATAAAAAAATAATTTATATTTATTTAAGGAGAGTGTAAAATTTTTTACGCCATCAGTGAATATTAATATTTTATAACATGTTATTTATTATTTGTATCACGTTATCAAATAATGCTTGTTACATAAATTTACATGTAATTACGAGTTTAAGTTCTATGGATGGACCGTTGGAAACCTAGAATTAAATTGTAAGTAACCTGCTATATAATGTTAAATCACTCTAACTGTATATAAAATTTGTTTCACTATTAGTGTTATTACCTAAATTCATTATCATACTAAAACGTGTAAAGGGTATTACAGTATGTGGATTGTACGTCTGCAGCGAACCGACTCGAATTATTGGTCGTCGGGAATCCTCACATAGCGGATGGGCCCCTTGTTTTTATAGCCTAATTATTCTTAAATTTGGATGCATAAAACAAACCCTAGTCGTTCTCTCATTGAACAAGTGAGTCTCCTAATACCCATAGTGGTGTTTATATAAATTATGCTAGAGCCTACAATATAAATCTAAAGGGACAACTAATTATTAATTAACTAGCACCCCTTATGAGTTACTAGGCCCAAAATGCTAATTTTTACCAAGAATTATCTTATAAATATGATTTTTTTCAAATATTTTTACACCATAAGTGTGTAAAACTTTAATAAAATAATAAAAGGGGTAGAAGGATCTAGTTTTTTTTTTTGCCAAATATTTTGCATGGCTAAGCTTCACTTTATGCCTTGTAACCACTTAGGATGTATTATATAGTGGGACTCCACTAAGAAAATGCGACTTGTATTTTCTCTTTGTCTATATATACTCTTCCCTGTCAGCAACATCTGGGTGCAAATAGGATTCTAAACACTTGTTCTCTGTTCTTGTTTTCTTAATTGAAAAAATTTCTTAGATTTGTTCTGATCAGGTGTTTTGACAAAATGTTTATTGAAAATTTTAAGGTTGAGAGCCCAAATGTGAAATACACAGAAAATGAGATTCACTCTGTGTATGATTATCAAACCACAGAGCTTGTTCATGAAGAGAAAAATGGCTCTTATCAATGGACTGTCAAGCCAAAATCTGTCAAATATGAGTTCAAAACTGATACCAATGTTCCCAAATTAGGGTATGTTTCTGATTGTTTTTCATCTTTTTATTTTTTCAATACAGAGTTATTCGGTACATGTGCGGGTGCTTGGTGATAGGTAGCCAGAGCGGAGGAAGAATAGAATATGTGGGTTCGGCCGAACCCACTAGCTTTGGTCCATACTACGTATTTGTGTTAAAAATTCATTGAATATGTACCAATTATTAATTTAGAAACCTGTAACTGAAAAGATTTAGAATATCGACCTCATAAGTTTCAAACCCTAGCTCTGCCTCTGTATGTAGCAAGTATCCGGCAAAACAGTCGAGATGCGCGCAACTTTGCCCGAACGTCATTACAAAAATGACCCATGAATTGGAAACTAAAAATTGTGTAATTTTTTTAGTGTTTTGTTGTTTCATGTTTACATTAATGTGTTGATTTTTTTTTTTCTCCTTATAGGGTTATGCTTGTTGGATGGGGAGGAAACAATGGTTCAACTTTGACCGGAGGTGTTATTGCTAATAAAGAGTGAGTTTCTTTCTAATTTCATGTCTATTTGTCAATTGTTATATTATCAAATTTCATTTGTTGATTTTATAATGTATGCTACTATGAAGTAAGATTTAAGAATAGTTTTTAACAATCATTTTTGGATCCTAAATAATATGAATTTTGGTGCTTTGTTTGGGGGAATTTTTGTAGAGGAATTTCATGGGCAACAAAAGAAAAGGTGCAACTAGCCAATTACTTTGGGTCTCTTACTCAGGCATCAACAATTAGAGTTGGATCTTTCAATGGAGAAGAGATCTATGCCCCTTTCAAAAGCCTCCTTCCCATGGTACTCACCTTGCTCTTTGATTGATTATCTTTAATGAATTCACTTAATAGGATTTAACTTATATGCACTGACAGCTTAATGAACTTTTTACGCTATATATCAATGCAATTTATCATGTTATAGAAGGTTACTCGTCTTATGTTTAGTTCAATTCCGGTTATTGTGTGCAGTTACCTGCACAGGCGGATGCAATGTATAAGATACGAGTTCATCTGAACCCAATAGTTTTGGCTCAAACCCTGTATATGTGTTTATTTAACATCTTATAGAAGGATATCTGTCTTAGTTTTCAGGTTAAATTCCACTTATTATGTATAGTTACCTACAGGGATGGGTGCAGCGTATAAGATATTGGTTTAGTACTTTTGGCTAAAACCATGTATATGTGTTAAAAATCCTATTAAAGAAGTGTGAATAATATGGATTCCAAACTCAATAAATCATATAGATTGTGATAGAATTTCGAATTCGAACTCATAAAGTTCAAATGCTGAATCTGCCTCTGTATACCTATAATTACCGTTTAAGTGACGTGAAGTTAGATTCAGACTAATATAATTGATCTGATGATGAAATAGGTTAATCCAGATGATGTAGTATTTGGAGGATGGGACATTAGCAACATGAATTTGGCAGATGCTATGGTCAGGGCTAAGGTTTTCGACATTGATCTGCAAAACCAGCTGAGGCCATACATGGAATCCATGGTCCCCCTTCCCGGTATCTATGACCCTGACTTCATTGCTGCTAACCAAGAATCACGCGCCAACAACGTGATCAAAGGAACCAAGAAAGAACAAGTTGATCAGATTGTTAAAGATATTAGGTAAAAGTAGTATAATCTTGATTAATTGTCTTTAGTCCTAAACAGAGTTGTCCTATTTCTGCCAAGTTTAGAGCGTAAATAACATGTTTGTGTGGTAATTTAGGGAGTTCAAGGAGAAGAATAAGGTAGACAAGATTGTGGTGCTGTGGACTGCCAACACTGAAAGATACAGCAATGTAATTGTTGGACTAAATGACACAATGGAAAATCTTTTGGCTGCTGTGGATAGAAATGAGGCTGAAATATCTCCTTCTACTTTGTATGCTATTGCTTGTGTTCTTGAAAATGTGCCTTTCATCAATGGAAGCCCACAAAACACTTTCGTCCCAGGTCTGGAATCTCGATTAAATATATGTAACGAGTTATTACAAGTGTGTTTAGCTTCTATACTAAGTATTTTTTGCTGATACTATTTCTCAGGTCTAATTGATTTGGCCATAAAGAGGAACACTTTAATTGGTGGTGATGACTTTAAGAGTGGTCAAACCAAGATGAAGTCCGTGCTGGTCGATTTTCTTGTTGGAGCTGGTATTAAGGTATGGCTTCTGCTGTTAAATCTGCTAGAGCTTTGAAATCTTGAAACACTTTGTGTACTAATAATTTGAAGTAATTTTGATTTGGAAGATGAAGTTCTTTATAGAGCAATAGTATAATCGTGCTGAATGAAGGGGTGTCTTGGCGTTACTGGTAAAGTTGCTGTCATGTGACCAGGAGGTCACGGGTTCGAGCCGTAGAAACAGTCTGTTGCAGAAATGCAAAGTAAAACTGTGTACAATAGACCCTTCCTTGAACCCCGTGCATAGCAGGAGCTTAGTGCACCAAGCTGTCCCTTTTTAGTATAATCGTGCTGAAACTCGTGGTGTTTGTATTGACAGCCAACGTCAATAGTGAGCTATAATCACTTGGGTAACAATGATGGAATGAATCTTTCTGCCCCTCAAACTTTCCGGTCTAAGGAGATCTCGAAGAGCAATGTTGTCGATGACATGGTTTCCAGCAACGCCATTCTCTATGAAGCTGGCGAGCATCCTGACCATGTTGTTGTGATCAAGGTAATAATATAACGCGAAAAAGATATATTTAATGTACACAAACATGCATTTTAAATTTCTCAAAAACTAATGTTTGGTTTCGGATTCAATCAGTATGTCCCCTATGTTGGAGATAGTAAGAGAGCAATGGATGAGTACACATCAGAGATTTTCATGGGTGGAAAGAACACCATAGTTTTGCACAATACTTGTGAGGACTCTCTTTTGGCAGCTCCAATTATATTAGACTTGGTCCTTCTCGCCGAACTCAGCACTCGCATTCAACTCAAAGCTGAAGGAGAGGTCAGTTACTTTCTATCTGAATTCAATGTTTTACACTTACAATGTTGTGAGAATTCTGATGAGAAGTGATTCTGTTTTCAGGGGAAGTTCCACTCTTTCCATCCTGTGGCTACTATACTCAGCTACCTCACTAAGGCTCCTCTGGTAAAGTTTCTGTGACAGTTTATTTTCCTTCAGTTAAAACCGGGATCCGTACCGGATTTGGTCAAACACTTTTGGGTACTTTGACCACGACGGACGGAAAAATTCGAGACGAGATACAATTTGATTCCCGAAATTAGAACCAAAACTAGGGGTAAATTTAAAGAAAATAGCGTATCTTATCTAGAAAAATACTTTAGTTATCTACAACTTGAGAATAAAAAAGAAATTCACACTTTACAAGCTATACGTAAGTAATTCCACAAAATTTCTCATAATTTAAAGATTTATTTATTTTTTTTGAATTATTTTTAGTCGGATCCCCGCACCCGTATCCGTACTAGAATCCGTATCCTCGAATCTTAGAATTTACATCCCGAAGGATCCGACCTCTAGATCTGCACTCGTGTCGGACACCCGCACCTGTGTCCGAGCAACTTAGGTTAAAACTGACTTAAATGTAAAGGTGTTAAACGGACCGGGTCAGCCCGGTTCCGGACCGGCCTAGACCGGTAGAACCCGGAACCGGCCCGGACCGGTAAGGGGGGGCTGGGTAGGGGGGGTTGGGGTGGGTTTGGACGGTTTAAATTTTTGAAACGGGTTACCCGGCCCGGTAAAACCCGTTAGATGAACAGTGCCGTTAAACCGGTTAACCGGCCCGGCCCGGACCGGCCCGGAACGTGAATATAACATGAATATACCGTGAATATACCATAAATATACCATGAATATACTATAAATATACCATGAATATACCATGAATATACCAATTATTGTATACTAATTAACATAATTTAAAATTATTGGAATTTAACATATAGTGTATATATTTAGGGTATAAAACTATAAATGCTCAAATCATAGAATATGATGGTAACGCATTATTTTTAAAATATGCTATATATGTGTTATTTTAAGATTTTAAGACAATTTGTGTTATTTTAAATTATTAGACGTATTTATGCTTAATGATTTAGTTTGTTAGATTAATTTGAAGTATTATTAATTTATTATGCATGAAAATTTAGTTTACTATTTATTTGTTAATTTACTTTTTAAATGCAAACTTTAATTTTGTAATTTTGAAATAAATATAGCACTTGCAATTTATAAGTGCAATTTTTTCCCATCTTCCTTGTATTCTTTATGTTAGTACTTTGTATTAATACTATAACTTACAATATTTATACAAAATCCAAAAAAAAAAATTAAAATTATACTAAACCCGGCCCGGCCCGGCCCCCTCAACCCGTAACCCTTATGGTTCAATTTTTACCCGGAGGAACCCGAACCCGTTAAAACCGTTAAGACCCAACCCGTAACCGGCCCGGACCGTAACCAGTACGGGTCCAAAAAATATAGGCCCGGCCCGACCCGACCCACCCGTTGAACACCTTTACTTAAATGTAAACAATGTGCAATTATCATTACTGGTGAAGAAGTAGCAAGAGTGAAAAATTGAAAGATAATTGGGTCAGAGCATGTGCTAGGTCTATAGCTGATATGACAATGTTGGATTCTTTCATCTTATTAAATGAATGACCAGAACTATCTGTGGTCCACAAGATAAACATAGAAATGGGGCAACGAGCAGTTATTCAAATTTTCATATGCACATAGACTAAAAGACAATATTGGACAGCGATGAGCTTAAATGGAGCAACTAAGTTGCTCGGACAGTTCACTTTCAGTGCCTCACCCGTGTCGATACGATGTGCGTGTGGATATGGGTGTGGGATCCTTACCTGATTAATCGACTTTGGGTACTTTGATCAAAATCGGCTGAGAAATTCGGGATAGGTACAATGAATTTTGAAATCCGAACAAAAGTTAGGGTAAAATTGAAGAATACTTAATACTTTGTAAATAGAAATTTTTATGTCAGTCCTTTTCCTTTTATCTCCTTCTTGGATTCTCCTCTTGATCAATATTCTTTTCTTCTTAGAATGCATTTTAAGTTTTCGTATAATGTCTCATAATTTAGATGTATCTTTATAACTTTATTTTTAGATACTTGAATTATGTTTAGCTGAATCTCCGCACCTGTATTCGTACCTGGATCCAAACCCCCCCGAATCTTAAAATTTAGATCATGAAGGATCCAACCTCTAGATATGCACCCGTATCGGACACCCGCACCCAAGTCCGAGCAACTTAGTGGAGCAACATAGACATTCAGAATTCAGATAGCCGACTCCAACTTGTTTACTGAGGTCTAGTCATAGGCGGAGGCAGTATTTGAAGCTAATGGGTTCAGGATCTTATTTCTCCTAAGTTACTGGGTTCTAAATTAATAACTTGTACATATTCAATGAACTTTTAAGAACAACTACAGAGTTTGGACCAAAACTACTGGGTTCGGCCGAACCCGCATCCAAAGCTCTAGCTCTGCCCCTGGGTCTAGTGGTTGTTGTACATAGACTTAAAAGATAATGCAGAAGTCGCAATAAACTAATAAAGGACTTCACATGAACCACAAAAGTGTCGTTTCAGCTCTAATTCTCCTATTTTTTCGCTTGTAATCCGTTGATTTTTGGTAATAGTTTTTCCTTAACTGTTGTTGTGAATTGGAAAACAGGTACCACCAGGTACACCAGTGGTGAATGCCCTGTCAAAGCAGAGGGCAATGCTTGAGAACATATTGAGAGCTTGTGTTGGTTTGGCACCAGAGAACAACATGATTTTGGAATACAAATGAAAATGCAGATAAAGGAAATTGATAGAAGAGAATGGACTCAAGAGTAGTTGCATGTGCTGAAGATCATTCTCTCTTCTTTTCCTTTTCTATTTTCTCATCATTAATATAATTAAGCAAAGTGTGGCATAACTTTGACATACAGATGATTGAAGGGCCAAATCTCTATGTTACCATATCTGGAAATACAATCTATTGGAAATACAATGTGGTGGTTTAGATTTCGTTTTAGTAAATCTACTTTGCCTTTGTTTTGTATGAGTTAGATTTTAGTAAATCTACTTTGCCTTTGTTGTTTTATATGAGTGAGATTCTATGCACTGACATTGTAGAAAATATTTAAATAATCATGTCTCTTATAAGGTTATAAGTGATTCTTTTTATTATAAGCATTAATTATTAGCTTGTTAAAAGGGATAACTAGCTTGTCATCACATGACAAATTACAATATAAAAAATCTCTATTAAACAATATAAAATGGGCGCAGTAGTTGTTAGGGAGTCCTTTTAAAGTTTAATACACGGAATCCGGATGATATTGAGAAAAAAATTATCCGAAAGATTTAAATTCGAAAATTTCAAAGATGAAAGATAAAGGAACGAGGGGAAGAATCGATGAGGCGAGTGTTCTCGAAGAGAAAATCATGATGGTCTACAATTTTTCATATTTTATCCGTTACCTGTTTTAAAGAAGATAATCAGGACTAAATCATCAATATTTCATTAAAGGAAGTATACCACCAATAAGTTCTTTTCTCATGTACTCGTATCTCATTACTTTCTTTTATCAAAACTAATAACTAGAACAAATATTTCACATATTTTTATGTTTTTTTAAAATTGTATAGAAACTTAGATGTTTCCAGAAGGTCAGAAAAACCTAATTTATAAGCACCAACTAACACAATAATAATATACTTGGAATATTCATCTCCAATAAGTAATATTTGGAGATTTTTCGTGAAAATAGCACGGGCTAGCCAGTTTTCGGACTGGTAATTAAAAAATAGCCAGTGTTTACAAAGTCATTGTAAAATAGCCATTATTTCGTTGTAACACGAAAAGTTCCAGCATAATATACTGGAGATCGGTGCACCTGTGTATGAACTTCCAGCATATTATGTTGAAACTCCATCACACAGAAAGTTCCAGCATAATATACTGGAGATTGAAGCACCTATTTATGGACTTCAAGCATAATATGCTGGAAGTCCAGTATAATATGCTAGAACTCCAGTAGATTATGCTGGAAGTTCACATGTAAAAAATTCAAACTCCATTATATTATGATGGAATATTTTTCGGATTTTGAACACTATTTTCATTCTGATTTATCTTTACATGAAAAGTGGCTACATTTCAATTACTTTTGAAACTGTGGCTATTATTCAATTATCACTTATAAATGTAAAAATTGCACGGGGCGCCCTATTTGGGCGCCCCCTTTTAACCTGTACCCGCTTTGTCTTTCTGTTTGCACCCATACCCACTTTTTTGTTAAAAGCCATTTGAAAAGACTATTTTACCCTTTTTTGTTAAAAGACTACTTTCTCTCCAAGTATACGCTAGTGCTCTACTGTTTCTCTCTCCCGTTATTCGCGTTTTTCGATTTGCTCTTCTCAGAAATCAAACGGTTTTCGTCGTTCTTTCAAATTTTCAACTGCTAGTCGTCGTTGTTACCATATTACGATTTAATCACATGTACATTGCATTAACTTTCTGGGTTTTGTTTTATGATTTAATTTCTGGTTTTGGGTTTTGATATTCATGTATTTATGATAGGGTTTAGTTTGATAGGTTGTTCATGTTGTTAATGTAATTTCTATAAATTCTTCTGTGATTCGATGTTCAAATTTTTAAAAATTTTCAGAGTTAAACAGATGATAATGATACTTTAGGATAAGAGCTGAAGTTTTTTTCATGTTTTGGCATTATTTTTGGATTTGAATTTGTGTTTTGTTTTTTTGGCTGAATGTTTTGTGCTTGCCGAAGTTTTTAGTGCAATATGATTTTTTAATTTAGCCAGTGTATGTGTAAAACTTCAGCCTCCTGCTGAAGTTTTTGAGTAATAACAAAAAAACTTCAGCTGCTTGGCCGAAGTTTTTTTAGTGCAATATCAATTTTTAATTTAATCAGTGTAGGAGGAAAACTTCAGGCTCCTTCTGAAGTTTTTAAGTAATAAATAAAAAACTTCAGCTGTTAGGCCGAAGTTTTTTTAGTGCAATATGATTTTTTTAATTTAGCCAGTGTATGTGGAAAACTTCAGCCTCCTGCTGAAGTTTTTGAGTAATAACAAAAAAACTTCAGCTGCTTGGCCGAAGTTTTTTAGTTGCAATATCATTTTTTAATTTAGCCAGTGTATGTGGAAAACTTCAGCAATAAATTAAAACCTTCAGCTGAAGTTTTGTTTTATACCTGTCGAACTTAAGCCTTCATAGGTGTTGAAGTTTTAAATGATCTTTTTGATAATGTCCTGATGTTATTATTTGTATACTTTTTTTTGACAGATGGCTCCTAAAGCACCTAAAGATCCTAAAGTAGCTAAAGAAGGCAAAGCACCTAAAAAACCTAGACTACCTGTAGTAGTCCCAGTCCTGTATTTCCCTTCACCTTACCTTACAAACCAGGACAAAGAGTATGTTTGAGTTTACGAGAATGGTTTAACTCTAAGGTTACTGGAAGGGGGAAACGCATGATTTAAGAGTTTATATTGTCGTCTTTCCTGACTCTGCACAACAGGCTAAGCTTCAGTAATGGTCCATTTAACTACATTAATTGCTATGGAGAATATCAAATGCAAGCAGTGGAGTTGTGTGTCGAGTGTCTGTGGCTTTCTCGGAATTCATTGCACGAATGATCAGAACTTAATTAGTTTCCCCCAAAGATATGTGTGGGCATGATGTTTCCTTCACCCTTGAAACTTCAGACATTATCTGTGTGGGTCTTGCCGATAACAACAACATAATAGTTGAAAAACCATTAATCAAAAGAGCACGTTTCGTAAACCGTATTTGTTAAGTCAAGGGTGTGTCATCTGAAGGATTATTCGGAGGTTTTATGACTCCGTCAATGCATTCCAAAGAGATGTATGTGAATTATTCTCACACGTTATGCGAGAAGATTATGAAAGATTGCAGGTTACGATTGTGAAAGATCTTATTTTCAGATGTCCTATTGTCTGTTTGGGAAAAAGTAACGATTCATGTTGTGAAGTGAGAGATAGTGCCGATGCTATCTATTGAGGGACGAGAAGCGCTACATGTATGAATACCCTGGGTGGTAAGTGTGCGCTTATTGGAGAGAGCTCATTCATTCATTGAATACAGTGTATTGGAAAGCAGAAGCAAACATCATGCACTGAGTTTAAACTACTTGGATTTCCATATCCGTTATGTGTTTGGTTCTATGACCCTTCCAGATTGTTCGGATGAGGTTATGTAGCAGAGGATGAGTGTACCTTGATAACGCCTCAGGATCACCCAGGATGTTAGCTTATGTAGCTCGGGAGAGCACTAAATTTCCTGAACTTTATTTTCCGAGTGTTCAAAATCGATGAAGTAATTCTTTTGTTTTTTTGTAATAATATGCTATGTATTAGTTTTCTTTCTGTCCATGAATAGTACTGTTTTTGATTTAAACTGAGAAGATCGCGATTAGGGTATTGGAATAATTCCTACAGAAGAGGAATTGAATTCAATCCTTTAATTAGAAAATTGACCGCTGCAGTAGGATTCGTTAAATGTAGATAATGCAGTTCCTTCAACTAGTAATTATCAACCACTTACTCTGAGTCTGACCAACGAATTGAAATCGAAATCCTGTCATTCGGTAAATCACCACCTACAAAGAGTCGATCAAAAATGGATGAATCAAACTGAATGACATGTGGTGAATATACCCTAGTTGGAATCAATCAAAAGAACTGAATCAAATCCTTATTATTGCGACAGCATCTCGTACCCGAAGAGTCGTTCTACTCCATCTACAATCTGACTTGATGAAGATGAATAGCTTGATAAGAATAGTGCTCTGTAAGTTTTTATCTGAAGTTTTTTGGGTTTGGGTTTGTTGTAAAAGTGACAAACTGTTTTTTTGAGCTGACAGTTTTCTTCTATATTTTTTGAAATTTTTGTTGTGTTATCTATTGTAGAGGTTAACGAACGAGGTCAACGAGGCAAAATGTAAAAGAAAGAAGCACAATCAGTGAACGAAGTTTTTATAAATTTAAAGAGGAAGGAGCGAACTGCTATTGTGGATGCGTGTTTTTCGTAAAGTGAAAGTAAGTCTAATTGTATAGAGAAGTCCTTTTATTTGTGTCATTTTATTCCGATTAGACATTTTTAGTAATTTTGTTTTAGGAAGTATTTCGATGAGAAAGTTGAACAGTTTGTTTACGATTGTCAAAACAAATCAAATGGGAATGCGATCGCAGAATAAAAAAAATTATGAGTGGCCGAGAATATTTTGAAATGACTGTTGTGGAAGATGCAGTTGTGGCTTTTGAAGGCAATCAAATATTGTTCAAAAAACAATGTTGAAGAGCAACGTTCCAGTTCCTGAAGATTGAGCAGAATGAAATGATGAAGCACATTTATTAAGCTGAGAGATATTGGTAGTGAGGAAGGTGCTCATAATCAAAGTTGTCAGAAGACTTGAAGAACATACAGCTTCATGATGCAGTTCCCTAATGTCTGCAATGAAATGCTACATATAAGAAGCAGCTGTCGAGGCGTGAAACTTGTTTCAAACCACAAGGTGAGAGGAAGTGCAGATGATCAAGTTTGTTGGCACTGAAAAACATTCACCGAGGCTTGCTGCTCGGCAAAAGTGATCAAAGCATGGGCTCTGTTGGTAACTTTCAAATCTGAGAAAGACGATCGGTATGCAGGGAGTATAGCGATTGCAATTGAACGTCTCTAGGTGTTTGCTAACAGTGAAGAATTGTTTACTACAGTACAAACGTTAAAAACATGTTTTTTTGGTAAGTGTTTTTGTTTTGTAACTGTGGAACTTTCAGCATATAGATGCTGGAAGTTTTTTTATAACTGTCGAGAGCTGAAGTTTTTTAGTTTGACTATCGAACTTTCAGCTCTAGAAGCTGCAAAGTTTTTTTGTTTATAACTTCGAGACTTCAGCTCTAGACGCGATTTTTTATTATAACTGTCGAAACTTCAACTCTAAGAGCTGAAGCATTTTTTAATAAAGTTTGAAGTTTTTATGTCCTGTGGATTGCTAAACTTTAGCCTTGTTAGAAGTTAGAAGTGTTCTTAAATTGTGGTTGTTTTTGTTT